TTCTCAAATGTGAACATATTTCATGTAGGTGGGAATTTTTCTGTAAGTATTACATTTGTTCCTCTTCCTGGTGCTGTGAGTTTTTTCTCTCAAGTGCATCAAGCTGGATGATTTGGAAAACTCAATTGTATATCACTTGTGGATCCTGTCCATCACTTGTGCTGTCCCTCGTAACTCACTTCATCACCAGTGATCACTGCTAAAGCTTGATCTAACAGCCCATGGAGAAAAGACTGTGGTTCATGGAGAAAACCATTGAATTACAGCTCATTACCCATCCTTGAAATATTTACTCAGCATCATTTTGTACATTACAATGAAGAGAAACAAGACCTTAGAACCCTTGAAGTGTGGTTCACTTTTTTGAACTCTGATGAAGTGACTAGATTCTCACTGGGATGAAAGAGCTCTATCGACACAGATGCCAAGATGAAGCAGGGAATGCACATCTGCAGACAGGTTTAATTCTTGAATCTCACCCTCTAACTGACTAACATAGAACAACTCTACCTGTTCTTTCTCAAAAAGGATAAGGTCTTGATCTAAGAAATACTATACCTCATTATTTTGCAAATTATAGAGTTTGTGATTATAAATCCAGTGATATTCACACAACCAACAGTATCACATTAATTCTCATTTGTCCACAGTACACACAGGTTCTCACTGTGAACTGAACCAGATCATCCTCTCCCTGGTGGCATCAGCTCCTGATAAGTGCATTACTAGGAGCAGGGCTGATGGGGAGCAAGGGACTGAGGTGATCATGGCATCTTTATACATGTGATGTCCACTCCTAGGTTCAGTTGTGCTATGGATATTGCTCTGTATGCTGTGTGTTACTCTGATTGATTAATAAATAAAATGCTGATTGGCCAGTAGCCAGGCAGGAAACATAGGAAGGACAAACATAGAGGATAATTCTGGGAAGAGAAGGCAGAGGCAAGAGTGCCAGCCAGACACAGAGGAAGCAAGATGTCAAGGCAGTACTGAGAAAAGGTACCAAGCCACGTGGCTAAACATAAATAAGAATTTAGTATAATGATGGTATACTAAAATCAAATCTCTGACAATCTTGTGGTTGTAACTTAATTGTAAAGAAACAATCTTGTAAGTCAATGACTATGATATGCCAGTCCTTCAGTACTGCCACAGGAGATGGCAGACCAGGTTGTAGGGCTCCCATATCTTCCATAGCTCTCAAATCCTGTAATAATCTCCATTTTCCTGATTTCTTTTTTATGACAAAAACAAGAGTATTCCATGGGCTATTGGACTCTTCTATATGCCCCTTTTCTAACTGTTCTGCTACTAGCTGCTCTAGTGCCTGTATTTTTTCTTGTGTAAGGGGCCACTGACTGACCCACACAGGCTGGTCAGACTTCCATTTTATAGGATCTGCATAAATGGTACTCGCAGTGGCCCCTATGAAAAATGTTGATCAGTCTCTGAGTCTACTGATACCAATTGGATATGCAAGGATTCCATTAAGTCTCTACCCCACAAGGTGAAAGGTAAGGAGGGCAGCACATAAGGCTGTATCATGCCGTCCTTATTGTCTGTCTTCCATTTTAATACTTTTGAGCTTTGCATGACCCCCGAGGCCATTCCTAACCCCATAAGAGAGGATCCTGTTTTATGTATAGGCCATGAGGAAGACCAATCTTTTCCTGCTATACAGGTTCTGTCAGCTCCAGTGTCCAGAAGGCCCTGAACGGGTTTTCCTTCTAGCTGTATCACTTTAAAGGGTCTATTGCATAGGCTTTGGACCCAAGCCACCAATTCATTAGAATCAGTAGATCCAAATTGATCCTGGCCTCTGTATCCTTTCATGATTGGAGCAGGCAGATTCACATAAGGTAATAGCACAATCTGAGCTATTCTCTGTCCCTTATGTAACTGTATGGTCTCCTTTAATGGTCTAATCATGACTTTAATGTCCCTCATTGTATCTGCATCAAGAACCCCTGGTAAGACCTCAAAATTTGTGGCTGTGTTAGATCTCCTTCCTAATATTAGCCCTACCGTTTGAGGCAGCAGGGTTCCCACTATTCCAGTAGATATGACTGCAACTCCGTCACAGAGGGACAAGAGTACATCCTCCCTACAGCTCAGATCCAATCCTGCACTCCCTGGGGTTCCTCGTGGCAGATCATAAATCGTAAATTCTGGGCCTTGAAGATTTAAAGCTTGCTTGTCCTGTTATACAGGATTCAGCTCCCTGTCCTCCAACTTCCCCTCTTTGAGTTCAGGCCTAAGGGGAAGCCCCTTACCTAGTTTTTTGACTGAGGTTCCTCTTTTAGGGGAACCCCCTCTTTAGTGAACTTTGACTTGCACTGATTTCTCCAAAGGTTTCCCTTTTCTACAACGAGGGCAAATCCCCGGAGGAGGCCGGGAAGTTTTTCCCCGTGTAGAAGGGCATTCTTTCTGCATATGCCCTGATTTTCCACACTTATAGCATGTTGAGGACTCATCATCATTACTTCCCCCAAATGCTTTCTTTACATAGGCGCTGAATCTCTGAACTTTCATGGCTGCAGCGTAGGCCATTCCTTGCACTACGGCTGGTGAGGCATCCAAACATGCTTTTATGTAGTCCTGTAATGACCCAGTTTTTCTGACAGGCCTAATCAGATCTTTACATAAGGTATTGGCATTTTCCCAAGCCAGTTGTTTTAGAAGCATATCCACCCCTTCAGATGGGGGAAGCATCCTATGGATAGCTTCCTCAAGGCGAGAAATAAATGCCTGATAAATTTCCTCGTTTCCTTGTATAATCCCAGATAATACAGTTCCCTTGGTCCCTGCAGGAGGTATCCTTCTTCAAGCTTCTAAAACATCTTTGGGGAGAGCAGTCTGAGACTGAGGGGTAGCATAATTTCCTGTCTCTAGAAGCATGTCTAGGGTAGGTTTAGTCCCCTTTTTCTTGGACATAGTAATGATTGTCTCTTTAGATCTGTCCTCATAATCAGTTCTCCAGAGAATATAATCCCCCGGAATTTCTCCCTGCTGGCTACATTTCCTAGGGCAGGATGGTGCTATGCAGCCTGCAGGAAGAGAAAAGATACCAATGATCTTATACATTGCAGATTCAAATATCAGTCTTCAGGTAAACATGTTCAAAAGCCCATGGATATGGATAGCCCTTTTAGATCCTAGGTCTATTGCTAAAGGTCAAGTTGTCAAACTTCCTTATATTACATATATTTACACCTAATAGATGAGTGCTGCCCCCAGCCTTGATCACACAAGCATTTTTGTGCTGTGTAATGATTAATGCAGACATTAATGACCTATCAATATTCTGAGAATGAGTAAATGAGTACTCAGCCACAGATGAGTTGTCTGTATTAACCTCACAACAAAGTGGAAGGACTATGATGTAAGCGAGATTGGAAAGAATGGAAGGTACAGAATATGAGTTTGCTAAACATGGAATTCTATCTTTAGGACCAGACATGGCCGTGGTACATAGAACTCACAGCAGCTATAGTTACCAGTTTAAGACCTAAACAGAACAAGCCATTCAAATTACAGCATGGGAGCCTATGAACTAGCTGATCAGGTAGAGGTGTCTACTGCCAAGCCTAGCAATATCAGTTTGATTGCTTGGACACATGTCTTAGGATAGAAGAATTGTATTCCATAAGTTGTCCTCTGAGGACCACACATACACTGGTGCATGTGTGTCCTGTTCTCACCACTAAAGATACTATAACAATTTTAAAAACTATTAAATGGATGGAGAGAAATTCCTGAGAATCCATATCAAGCTGAGGATCTATTGGCATTTAATGACTGATGAGGAAAATATAATGAGTCTTCTTTGGAACATCTCTGGAGGCTGCCTATGTACTAGGGAATAACCCCAGATATGTGTATATAAAAAGAACTGATGGGATTTGCTGTGTTATTAGTTAATGAAACAAAAGAGGTCAGGGATTTGGGAGAGAGACTTATTGGAAGGTTCCATGAAGAACCAGAGGGGCATAGTGGGTATAGATGTAATCATACTATATTATATACATGAATTAAAATTTCAAAGAATAAAATAGTGAAATGTTAAAATAACAATTTTATAATTTTTTTTAGAATTTTCATGTGAGTGTATTTTGTACACTATATAAATTTGCCCCATAATCTCTACCCTTCATTTTCTTTCCCCTCCCAATTTCCCTTTATTCTACTAGACAATTTCACTTATACATCATCATGTATTTGTTTGTATTCCTAGTTGTATACAAGTATGAAATATCTAAGAACTACTAATCATTTAAGGTTTGTGTTTCTGAGACGATCTTAATGAGTACATTTATCTCTAGTTGCATCCATTTTATATAACTGATGTAAGTATCATATTTCTTGCAAATGAAAAACTTCTGTTGTGTTGTTTATATAAACATGTTTTCATGATGAATTCCTCTGTTGACAGACACATAGTTTATTTCCATAATTTAATTATTGTGATGTTGCTGCAATAACCATTGCTGTGCAAATACTTCTGTAGTGTATTTTCTTTTGGTCATATGGGTGAGTTTCTTAGTATATAATCTGTCAGAAGGGATAATATAATTGCATATATCTGAAGGAGGCTGTAAAGTTCAAACTTAGCAGGCCTTAAATTTCCCATCACTGACCTGGTCATCACAGCCACCATCTGTACTTCAATCTCAAAACCTTGTAAAAAAAAATGGAGCAACTTTCTCAGGCCTACTGAGAGCTTAGGTCCTGATGTCACATCCTCAGCATCTGCACAGGGCTCAGGAAAGGAGCATGTTATACACTTCCTCAGAGAGGATTCAGAATTGGCTCTCAGCTTCTTGCTGCCTAACCTAGGTGTCCTCTGCCTTCTTCTCCCCCTGAACTAGGTCCTTATCTAAGAAGTATCCTGCTCATGAATATGCAAACTCCTGGAGACTTTGGTTGTAAATACAAGGTTGTGTAATCCCCTCAACAACAAATGATCTGTGTCCTCTCCACAGTCACTGAGCACACAGGTCCTCACCATGGGATGCAGCTGGATCATCTTCTTCCTCCTGTCAGTAACTACAGGTAAGGGGCTTTCCAGTTCCAAGCCTGAGGAAGGAACAGGGACTGAGGTGACAATGACATCCACTCTGTCTTTCTCTCCACAGGTGTCTACTCTCAGGTCCAGCTGCAGCAGTCTGGGGCTGAATTGGGGAAATCTGGGGCCTCAGTGAAGTTGTCCTGCACGGCTTATGGCTACACCTTCACAGACCACTATCTTACCTGGGTGAAGCAGATGCCGGAACAGGGACTGGAGTGGAATGCATGGATTATTCCTGGAAGTGGTGATACTGACTACAATCAGAAGTTCCAGGGCAAGGACACACTGACTGCAGACAAATCCTGCAGCACAGCCTACATGGAGCTCAGCAGCCTGACATCTGAGGACTCTGCAGTCTATTACTGTGTGGACACAGTGTTGCAACCCACATCCTGAGTGTGTCAGAAACCCTGGAGGAACAGGAAGCTGCCCTGGGACTGAGATGACAGAGAAGATTAGCCTGAAGACTTTCTTAGAAATAATCATACTGAGTGTCCCTTTGTCTGACAATTCACATTCTTATAGGATCTTTGTACTTTCAAAATACCACTAGTATTAAAGTGATGTTGATTCAGGATGCCCTTAGAATGCACCATAAACTGACCAGGTGTTTACAATTTACCACCTCCATTAATATGATTTTTTTTTTTTTGGTTTTTTTCGATGCAGGGTTTCTTTGTGTAGCTTTGCGCCTTTCCTGGAACTCACTTGGTAGACCAGGCTGGCCTTGAACTCACAGAGATCCGCCTGGCTCTGCCTCCCGAGTGCTGGGATTAAAGGCATGTGCCACCACCGCCTGGCTATTTTTTAAAAATAAACTATAATAGAAAAACTGTGTGTGTGTATATATATATATATATATATATATATATATATATATATATATATACATATATCTTACATCTAAGGGTCTGGAACTGTTGGCGGAGTAGCTGGGAATGAGTTATAATATCAGTTAGGCCAGTAAAAGACAAATCAACAGCTTGTGCACAAACAAAACCCTTTCACAGTCCAACTTGTTTTCCCTAAAACAAGAACAGGCAGTTTGTTGGAAGAGTTCCCATAGATTTGTGTAAGAATCAGTGTCACAGCACACATCTGATCTGTGTCAGAATCCCTGAAGGAGCAGGAAGCTGCTTTGGGGTTGAGAGGACAGGGAAGAATAACCTGAAGACTTTCGAAAAACTTGTGGTTAAGTACCGAGGAAAGGAACAACAGACTAAGGATTAGTTATATTACATGAAGAATTTCCTAGTCACACTGCATACAAGATTCAGAGAGCAGGAGTTTCAAATTAGTGAACTTGATCCACTCATTCTCTTGTTGATATCAATGTGAGCATTGTCTACCATAATTTAGTCATCACTTTGGAGTAAAAATATTTGGTCACATTTCACATCAATGTCTAATTTGTAGATGACCAATGTTGCTGTTGAATATTTATTAACAAGTGTTATTCATCACACCAGTTTGTGTTTATGAGCTTTTAGGTATAGGCTCTGAGATTAAGCAATGATCACTGATTCATATTCATAGTCTTCCTCAATCTCAATACCCTGCCTTGTAATCACAGCCTGTTACAGAACAGTGAACACAGTGACATGAGACATTCTCCTCCAGTCTTTGGGATATATGGGTTTCACAATCATCCTCAGTGCCTTGCTGAAGGCTATTTAGTAGTTAGTGTTGCTGATTCATGACATTTTCCCAGAGGAATGGGCTGCAGATGTTGTCTGTAACTTCCTTCAGAGGTAAGTTACAGAGAGGACACCCCAGAGATGCCCAGAAACATCTCAGAACTGGATTTTCCTGCATCTTAGATATCTGGACACTGAGGAAACCGTGTGCATCAATCTGTGAGACAATCAGAATGAAAAGATGTGAGCCTGTTTCCAGATACATTCTCTTCCCTGTGGAGGGCCTCCAGAATTGTGCAAGTGGTGCTCAGGTCCTCAAGTGGTGTTTAGAAGAGTAAAATACAGCACAGTTACAGTAGGGAGGCTCAAGGGTTAATTATCAATGCAATCAGTGACCAGCCAGAGAAGTGTAAATAGTCCACAGAGTAAAGAGAAAATCATAAAAAAGCTAGAAATCAATATATGATGTAAGTAAGGAGATATCCTGCTCACTTTCACATTTGTTGCAACAGATCAGCACATACTATAATCCCAATATTACTTTACCTCAGAAGAATAAACTACTAGCATCTATTTATATCTCACAGGCCCCAGAATTTTGTGAATGGATTACATTGTAAGAAGAGAAAATCTCCATACTATTTAGAAGGCATGCATTCCTGTCCATTGTAACCAATGATAGCCATTAGCATCTTATGTACTGAAGTTAAATGTGGCTTTATAGACATTACTTAGCCCAACAGAGATTCTAAAATGCCAAGAAAAAACCATCCAGTACCCTGAATTGTAGGGATAAGTGATAGAAGAGCAGATATGCAACAGACTGGTCCTAGATCCTTTTATGCTTCAACATTTGGTGCATCTGACCCATGAGCTAAAATTAAAGCAAAATATACATGACTAGCATTAATTTATGTAGTGTGCATTTTTGTGTAAATATTTTAGCTATATTTCAGACATTTAAACACACATGTACAGGTAACCCTGCATAGTGATATTTGATTCTCCCATTCCTGGGAGCATATTTCAAATCCATGAAAATGTTCAGCTTCTAAATAGGTTAACTAATACATGTCCTATCCAAAAATAAGAGGACTGTGAAATTGGAAAGATATACATGGGGAGATAAAAACTTGTAAATATATATATATATATATATCCTACACCCATGAGGATTCTGGTCAAGGAGATCTCTCTGGCTTCATTCCTTTAAATGTATGCAAATGTAGTGTGGGAAACTGAGTCACAGCAGATATTTGATTCATTTCTACTTCCTTTTTAATGTGAGTATATTTTCTCATGGTATAATTGTTAACTTTTCTGTGAGTACTACAGTGGGTTATCCTCTTTCTGTTGACCCTTTTATCTGCATGTCTCTGCAATGCATACATGGATACATTGGGGGCTGCATCTAAGTTTATGACTCATTGTGGTTCTCTGACATCAGGTGCTCTGTCCCAGATATAGTCTGAAGAATGTAGTTTCCTGTTGTTCTTTATTGTTGTGACTTTACTACAAGTGGTAATTGCTAGAGCTGGATCCAACTGTCACCAGGGAGAAGGCTGGTATTGAGAGGGGCATTGATGATAGTATGGAAATATCTTAAAATCAAACTCTGATGTATCCAGTCAGCATCTCCAGATTAACAGCAATCATTTCTCTCCGAAGTTAAGCTCTTTGAACACTGAAGCTATTGGGATGTGTTACTGCTCAAGAAAGCCAGTGCTATACAAGTGTGCACTCCCTCCAACAATGGAGGAGTGTTCCCCTTGCTCCACATCCTCTCCAACATAAGTTATCATCAGTGTTTTTGATCTTATCCATTCTGACAGGTGTAAGATTGAATCTCAGAATTGTTTTGGTTTACATTTCCCTGATGAATAAGGATGTTGAGCAATTCCTGAAATGTCTTTTGGCCATTTGGGATTCTTCTGTTGGGAATTCTGTTTAGATCTGTAGTTCATTTATAATTGGATTGTTTGGTATTTTGCTTTCTATTTTCTTGAGTTCTTATATATTTTGGAGATGAGTCCTCTGTCAGATGTGGGCTTAGTGAAGATCTTTTCCCATTCTGTAAGCTTTCATTTTATCTCATTTATTGTGGCCTTTGCCTTACAGAAGCTTCTCAGTTACAGGAGGTCCCATTTATTAGTTGTTGCTCTCAGTGTCTGTGCTACTGGTACTATATTTAGGAAGTGGTTTCCTGTGCCAATGCTTTCTAGGCTAAATCCCACTTTCTCTTCTATCAGGTTCAGTGTAGCAGGATTTATGTTGTGGTCTTTTATCCACTTGGATTTGAGTTTTGTACATAGTGATAGATATTTATCTATTTGCAGTCTTCTACATGTTGACATTCAGTTATGCCAGCACCATTTGTTGAAGATGCTTTCTTTTCTTCTTCTTTTTTTTCATTGTACAGTTGTGGCTTCTTTGTAAATTATCAGGTGTTTCCAGGTGTGTGGATTAACGTTAAGGTCTTCAATTTGATTCCTTTGGTCCACATATTGGTTTTTATGCCAATATCAAGCTGTTGTTTTTACTATGGCTCTATAGTGGAGCTTGAACTCAGGGATGGTGATGCCTCCAGACATTCTTTTATTATACAAGATTTTTTAGATATCCTAAATTTTCTGCTTTTCCATATGAAGTTGAGTATTGTTCTTTTGATGTATGTGAAGAATTGTGTTGGGATTTTGATGGACTTGCATTGAATCTGTAGATTGCTTTTGGTAAGATCGCCATTTTTATTATGTTGTTTCCACCTATCCATGAGCATGGGAGATCTTTCCATTATCTGATATCTTCTTCAATTTCTTTCTTCAAGGACTTAAATTGTTTATCATGCAGGTCTTTCACTTGTTAGAGTTACTCCAAGGTATTTTATATTATTTGTGGCTATTTGTAAAGGGTGATGTGTCTCTTATTCCTTTCTCAGGATAATCATACTACAACTCACAGCTCCAAAGAAGATTGGAAAAAGTAGGACCATAAAAGGGGTACATGGATCACCTTGGGAAGAGGAAACTGAGGATATCCCGATGAGTAAACTGTGGATGAGGTGAGGGCACTAGAGGGTAGGGGATGGGGGATGAGAACATGAGGGAAAGGGATGGTCAATATGGTGGAGGGATGGAGTGGGAGAACAATGAAAGAGATATATTGATAGAAGAAGATATTATGGACTAAAGGAGAAACCCAGTGTTAGGGAAATTCCCAGAGACCAACAAGGATGACCCCAGATTAGATTACCAGTAATAGTATTAGATTACCAGTAATAGTGGTGAGGGTTCCTGAACTGGCCTACCCTGGTAATCACATTGGTAAATACCCTAATAGTCATCATAGAGCCTTCATCCAGTAACTGATGGAAGCAGATGCAGAGATCCACAATCAAGCACCAGTCTGAGAACTGGAAGTCCAGTTGAATAAAGGGAAGCAGGGTTATATGAGCAGGGGGGGGTGTCAAGATCATGATGTGGAAATCTACAGGGAAAACTGAACCAAGTCAAAGGAACTCATGAACTTTAGGCTGACAGCTATGGAACCTGCTTGGGACCAGACTCGACCCTCTGCATATGGGAGACAGTTGTGTAGCTGGGTCTGTTTGAGGGGCCCTGGCAGTGTGATCAGGATCTATCCTTGGTGCATGAGCTGTCTTTCTGGATCCCATTCCCTATGGTCTGACCCCTTGCTCACCCCGGTTAAAACAGAGAGGGGCTCGGTTCTGCCTCAGCTGAATGTACCAGGCTTTGCTGTCCC